TTTAAAAAAAAAAAAAAACAGGGAAGAGGAGTGTTAAAATGACCATGGTAATAGTCTAGTTACATTGTATGAACAATCCAAAAATGCAAAAACAAGTGAAAATAAACCATATAAAAGGCTATTGATCAAGGAAAAAAATAATTACAATAAATACAAAACACAAATCAACAGATAACTAGCATCAGAGTCGTTCTGCAGGGGAGAAGGAGGAAGAGGGATCAAACAGGAGTGGGGAGAGCGCAAGGGACTACGGTGATGGTGCAGGGGGAATTCTATGGGGACTACAGCTGAGAGGAGAAAGCAAACATTGTACAAAAGTGAAGAATGATGTGAAATATAAATAAAAGTTACTGATCAAAGACCTCCCAGAAGCCCAGAAGGTTCACTTGACTATACTCGGCACCACCACACTGCCCACTCTTGTGGGCTAACACTGAGATGGCACAGCAATGCCTGTCTATCAGCCCCAGCCTAGGACTCTGGGTCAAAACCCTGCCAACCATGCTCAGAAATCTATGTTTCTGACCAGCTCCCCTTTGACTCACAACATGCTGGAAGCTAACAGTGTCTCCCAGGGCTTGATTCCAGAATGGGGTGAGCGAGGCTTGTACTTTGCGAACAGCGAAAACCAGGCTAACTTTTGCGGCCCATTGTATAGTCAAGATCTCAACCACACTGGAGGCAAGGGATTCTGTGGTAATGACTGCCTTTATTTACTTTTCTCCATGGATCATTAAGACCCCAAAGTTGATGTTTAAATATGAACTAATTTCGGGGTGGTCTATACAGTCTAAGCTAACTGGTTTTTTTCTGATATTGTTAGATAATAGCAAGTGCCTGTGAAAGAATGGGAACTCTCAAACACTGCTTCCACTACTTTAAAACTGTTTGAAAGTTTTTCAAAATCTTAAATATATACCTGCCATGTGATCAAACCATTTCACCCCTTTACTCTAGAGAAAAGCCTATGTCCATACAAAGAGTATATATTCATATAATACAAAAGTTTATAAAAGCTTTAGATGGAAGCATCAAAACAGGAGAAAAAAACCCAAATGCCCATAAAGACACATATGAATAAACAAATTCTGATATGTAGTTACAACAGAATACGATTCAGTAATTAAAAGGAATGAATAATCATTACAATGGATGAATCTCAAAATAATGTTGCTGTTAATAATTCAGACAAAAAATGAAAGTGCTTATTGTAGGGCTTCATTTATATAAAACCCTAGAAAATGCAAACAAAGCTAGTAAAGTGACAAGATGTTTATTGGGGTAAGCTAGACAAGGGACAAGAAGGATGGGAAGGGACAGAAGTGGGGATTTCAAAGGAACTAAAGGAAATGGGAGAGCAGGCAATGGCTAGTGGCTATCCTGATTGTGGTGATATTTTCATGAGTACTTACATGTGTCAAAATTGATCACACTTTATACTTTAAATATCTATAGTTTCTTGTATATCAATGGCATGTCAATGAAGATGTTTTTACTTTAACAAGATAGCTCTGGATAAATTTTAAATAAATCAGTTCTTTACATCTCTAAGTTGGCTCTCTAGGGTAGGGTCAACAAACTTTTTCTGTATGGGGTGAAACAGAATTTCAGGCAGGTCACATGGCTTCTGCTGCAACAGCTTAGCTTATAGGTATAGCAGGAAAGCAGCCAGTCAAAATTAAAAGAGCCAGCACCCCAATCTTGTTATATGGTTGATAGAAACAAACATTCTAAGCATGACGTGACACTTGAGTGGAAAAAAACCACTCAAGTGAATAAACTTTACATGTAAATTCTTTAAAAAGAATAAAATATTTTGTAGCTCACAGGCCAGATGTGGTCATTTTACCAGCCTCTAGAGGCATTCACTTCATTGTCTTTTGAAAAACAGAATTAAAGTAATCACTTGCATCAAGCCCTGGACGAAATACCTACATGCAAAGGTCTATACCAAAACTGGGGACCCCACTATTGGAGATCCCTGGCTAAATGTATTCCTTTTAGGCTTAAAATCCAAAATTTGCTGAGAAATGAAATTTTTAATTTGTTTGTGGGATACCACTGGGATTAGCAAAAGGTACTACTGTGCTAGTCATTTTTAACTAAATCACACCAAGATTTGTGTGTTTTCCCAAAAACAAACAATATGTCTTACCATAAGGGATGTAAATAGACAGTATTACAAAATTTTCTAAGGTAAGGCTCTGTATCTAGAAACTATGCTTCCTGCAATGTATGGTATGCAGTGACCACAGAATTGGCCTCCATCTCAACAGGTTTCTGCCTGGATAGCCTAACCTCAAAGGCAACTGTCCACTGTGTCCACAGGACTAAGCTCAGACTGTTTCAGGGTTGTGAGCTTCTCCAATAGTTGATAAAATCGCCTTTTAGGAAGGCTGAAAAGTAGAGCAGATATTAGCTAAATGTTGCTTACTATTGTCTTCAGTATAGAATAATAGAGACTTCAGTCAATTTCTCAATGTCTTCATACTTTATTTCATTGCTTAGTCTAAAGAAATTCATTCTGATCTTAGCCTAGAAAGGAAAGCTATCGGGCCCATTAGCCATACTGCTTGTGTGCAATTTGAATAGCAGAAACTCCTTTGGATGGATATAATACATGTCACAGTTCATAGCTCGACAAGATGGAGTCTAGCTTTTGGCTCCCCTCCTTGCCCAGGCACTGCTGTGCAGAAAGCAACATGCATAACCATTCACAGCAACCCGAAACATTACCCCTGTCATGACTTGTGATTAAGAGAAATGCCACCTACTTTAGAAGTTGCCAGTACATCTGACATTCTCATAATTTGTACACTGAAGATGTAAATTTACCTCCTAATTTTGCATCTGTTTCAGATTTTTCTTGATAACACTCAGGACTCCTAATCCCTCGCCTTCTGGACTCTTGTCATTTGTGGATGCAATATATCCTCCAAACTGCCATCAGAGGGAATTTCATGCAATGCAAATAGGATATAAGACCTCTGGTGCTCAAAACTTCTAAGGGTCTAAAAGGTATATGATGCGTTATTGTAATTTCCACATGATTATAATATTTTTTGTTTGTAACCATTCCTTCTTTATTGTAAATTGTTTTAATATTCATAACTTTGCTCATTTTTTAATTTTATTTCTCTTTAAAACTTTTATTTTTATTGCGTTAACCTCGGCTTATTAACATTTCTTAAGAAAAAATTTAAATAATGTAATTGAAATAATGGATGGAAAGGCAACTCATACTAGTTACCTACAAAAACCTACCATAATATGGGCAGAAGTTGACACAGTTGCATTAGGATAGTGTAGTTATAAATGGCTTTATTGTAAAATTAGGCTTCAATATGACATTGCCTTCTCAATAGTCATAAGAAAAATGAAAGGTTCCTATAAATCAAAGATATCTAATGGAAACATAATGTTTATATTTAAGTTACAAGTTTTTCTATGTGTTTAAAAAATCACAAATTTTAGTTCCAAAAATGGCTTGTGTGTGGTATGTACATGTATATTAAATAGCATGTAAAAAATTCCACTTTTGCTTAATAATAAATCTGCACATTCTTTGTTACTAAAATGTGCCCTACCACTTTTCTTTAAATGTAATACTGTAATCTTTCTTGATGAGCACTTGGGATTCTTTATTATTTCTCTTACTACCCAAAATGCTGCATGGGATATTCTTACGTGACGATGTAGCTATAAACTATGTAAATATTAATCTATTTGAACAAGTTTTGCTACAAAAAAAACCCTAGCATTCCTAGATAAGGAATATAGACATTTTCATTTAAAATTTTTATTTTAATGATGGTAATAACAAACCTTCTATAATATATGTTCTATGTACTAGGCACTATTATAGAAAAATATCCTCTACAAAAAATAAATATGGACCAATTTATTAAAACTTCCTTTAAATATGTATGAACATACTTGCTACTCTTTATATTGAGTACTCACTAGTACTCAATATGACAAATGTTTTGGCTACTGCCGAGCACATAAATGGAAAAAAAAATACTTAATCTTAAAATCTGCATTTCAAAACTACTAGTAAGTCTAACCAATCTTTCATATATTTATTGGTCATTGTGTATCTTATGAGACTTAAGACCACATAGAAACTTTGCATGTGATAAAAGTGACTTTTCCTATCAGCATAAGAAATGGTTTATTCAATAAATGGATATTTATGTTCTCTT